TGTGGTTGCTGGGAATTGAACTCAGGACCTCTGGAAGAGCAGTCAGTGCTCTTAACCTCTGAGCCATCTCTCCAGCCCAATTCTTAAGAGTTTTCAGACATAACTTACTATTTATTGCTTCCTTGTTTAGAAAAAGTGTGTGTGTGTGTGTGTGTGTGTGTGTGTGTGTGTGTGTGTGTGTGTGAGAGAGAGAGAGAGAGAGAGAGAGAGAGAAAAGATGCCTTTCCCCCTAATTCTTGAGGTGCTGTTGTGTAAACAGGTAACTCTGGATTTGGATCTTCAGGAGGATGGTAGAGAATGAGTGCGCTGGGTGTGTTCATGGACTAACCTGGAATTACAGCACTCTCCTGAGTCAACAATGTGCTGGCAGATATTTAATAGATGATTCTAGAAGGAGAGCAGGCTGCTGACACGTAGTGTAGGTAAGTTCTTCCTGCCAACGTGATGATGGTACGGGAAGAGGTAAGGTCCCTACCGAAGAGCATGCTCTCATGTAGTAGTCTTTTCCTTTTTGGAAGTTTTAAAATTTTCCAGAAACTCCAGGTGACTCTCCCGTGTCTGCCTCCCATCTTGCCACCGACTGCTGGGTTCCAGCTGCGTGCCGCCATAGCCAGCTCCTTTGTGTGTTTGTTTAAGGTGAATTCTGGGCAAGCACTTCTGCCTGCTAAGCCTTCTCACCAGCCATTTGGAGGGTGGGTTGTTTTTTTTTTTTGTTGTTGTTGTCGTTTTATTTGTTTATTTGTTTTATTTTTCTGAGACAGATTCTTACACAGCCCAGCTGGCCTCAGTTTATGTAGCTGAGGAGGACCTTGAACAGTTGGTCCTCTTGCCTCAGCCTCATAAATGCTGAGACCACAGGCATGTGCCTCATTTCCGACTCATGTGATATTTCCACCCTTCAGGTGCAATAGATACACATAATCTAAAGAGCAGAAGAAGTAATACAATGTAGGAAAGTATTTAGGAAGTGATTGATTTTTAGTTTTGATTACCCTTTCTTTCATAAACACAATGAAGTCTGTTACAGATTTTATACCTGGTCTTCATGATGGCTGCTCTGTGAGAACAGCTGGCTTGTCTCCCACAGTTCCGTTCACTGCATTGTTCAGGTGGAAGAATGCTTTTGACTTCACTGTTGTGTGGAACTGGAAATACTGGTATGAAAATGGGACCATTGGTTCAGGCAGTCTCTAGGTAATTTGATAGTCTTAGGCTACTTTTGTTGTTGAACTGAAGATCTATGAGGCACAAGTTGAGTTGATCTGGAATAATATTACAAGTGACCTAGGACCTAGCCCAATCATGCAACATTTGGGAATCTCGGTATCTTCGATGAGGCCTGAAGTTTTAAGGCACCAGGGAGCTGATATCCACCTGACCATTCTCCTTCATGTGTTATCTTTTACATCTCTCAAGTCATATCTGCTCCAATTTTAAGAGATTCTGAAAGGAAAAGAATTGTACATTATCCTGACCAGTCCTCATCATTGTTGCCGCTTACATCACATCACTGAAAGGGCCTTCTGAAACTGGACAAGGGTCAAGGCACTCTGTGCTAAATGAAGCGTATCTGAGTTCTCTGATGCTTGCCATGCTGTGGTCTGAAAGAAGTGTAAGTTCTTGGTCTGCCTCAGGTAGATGCTGTTCCCTTAACTCTTATCAAATATATCTTTAAGAAACTAGAAAATGAATACAACAAGCCGCACACGGGTGCTTCTTAGCACAGTTGTGGGAACGATGGCTGAGCTAAGTAAGTGTCTAATGTGAGCTGGTATGGTATCATGTGTGAAATCTGTTGAAGTATGACAGACGGTAGAGCCCTGCCCAGAACAATGCAGACACCCTTCGGAGATCCACTTCTAGACATTTCTATGCCAGAAGGAAATGATCTACTGAGTGGGCTGGTGCATAATATGCTTACCCAAGAACAGCTTCTAAAAAATGAGAAAGGTGTGAGAGACGGAGGTCAGGTGAGGTGCTGTGTTCTTCCAAGGCACTAGAGGTGGAATTTCAGGATTAACTCACTTAGTAAACTGTCGCCCTGAAAGGTAAATTCAGAGTCCTTTTTTTTACTGTCTTTTATTTACTTTTCAGTTATGAGTAAGAATGTGAAATGGAGGCTTTAAGCAGCTTATAAAGCCAAAATAGTTGCTGCTGTTTGACCCCTTGCAGAAAAAGTTTGCTTATTTCCAAAAAAGTCAAAACCTGGCAGCATGTAGACGAAATGTGATCTACAAAATGGTTTTTATTTTATCCAACAGTACTGTGTGTGTGTGTGTGTGTGTGTGTGTGTGTGTGTGTGTGTGTGTGTGTGTGTGTTTAGCACCAGAAGTCAATATCGGGTATATTTCTCTATCCCTATCTCCCTATCTGCCTTGTTTTTTGAGACAGGGTTTCTTCACTGAACTTGGAGCTCACTGTTTCAGCTATTGTTGGCTTATAACACCCCCACACCCCCACCCCCGCCACCCCCATATCCACCTGTCTCTGCCTCATAGTGCTGAGGTTACAGATGCCTGCTGGGGATCTGAACTCAGGTCCAAAGGCATGCAGAGCAAGTACTCTAACCTCAGCCCTATTTTAAATTTAAATTAGTCACTAACATATTCAGGCTATATAGTATCTCATTAAAATTGAGATTTTCAGCTTCTTTGGAAATCAAATGATTTAACAAGCCTATTGGCAACAAATCAGGAGAGGCGAATGGAACTAACTCCAAGACTGTAAAGTAGTGAGTGCATTCTCCAGAGGATCACCAACATGGAACACTCCCCTGACCACAGTTCATTCTCCCCTAAGTCCAAGGGACAAACTGACTTGAAATTGAGCGTTAGTTTCAAGACCAGAAAGAACTCTTGTTGACAGTCTGCATTAAATTTGTAAATTAGCTGGAAAGAGAGCAACTTATCCAAGAGAAAAGGATGTTTTTCTATTTCTTCAAGTAGTCCGTGTTCTACCAGTAATTTTGTCATTTTCCTTGTGTATTTTATGTTACTTAAATGTACTTGGGGTATTTTATGTAGCACAAATCCTAATTGGTCTTAAAAATAAAAACCCAGAGCCAGATATCAGGGTGAAAGCTGAAAATCAGAGAAGCAGAGCAGCCAGCCTGAATGAGAGCTCCTATCTCTTCCTGCCTTATATTCCTTTCTCCATTCAGCCTAATCATCTCAACCTCCCTAGTGCTGGGATTAAAGGTGTGCGCCACCACTGCCTGGCCTCTATGGCTAACTAGTGGCTGGCTTTGCCCTCTGATCATCAGGCAAGCTTTATTTGTTAGATCATACACAAAATATCACCACAATTTTAATTTTCTGTTTCCTTCTACAAGGAGTTTTCTCTTGCATTTTATCTTTTATCTGGCATTACTCACATACCTAACGGTGACTGTTTTTGCATATTAATCTAATTTTGTTAATTTGTGTGGTGGTAAGGATTGAACCTGGGGGCTAGGCAGTGCTCTGGCACCAAGCTCCACCTCAAGCCCCTGTGTGGAAGTTTGTGCCTGCTGTGCTAGTCTGCTATCTAGTGCTGTATCTCAACAACACTCTGGGTAATTTGTAAAGCAGAGAGTTTTATTTAGCTCATGGATCTACAGGCTGGAAGAAGCACAGTGCCAGCATCTTCTTGGCATCTGGTGAGGCCTTCTTGCTCCGTAGAGAGAGAGGAGGGAATTCAGATGACAGTTTGATGCTACGTCCATTGAGTAAACTGCGATGAGCTCCCAACAATGGGTTCTTGGCCAGTTTTGCTGTACCGGACGTGCATTTCTTCCTGTGGAATGGGCCTTAAATCCAAATGGAAAGCGATGGCCTCTCCCATGGCGTCTGCGCCATGATTGCACCGATGGACGCAGAGTTACCAAGGTTGTCAGCTCACAGGATTCACAGCTGGGTAAGACTGTCAGTGGCTTTCCTTCCTCAGCAGCCTGCATAGCACCTTCGATCCAGGACTGTCTATCCAAGGCCGTGAAGGCTAGCCAGCTGGGAGAAGCTTCCTGGTCAGTATCAGCTTGACTTCTTCATGTCCTATAACCATAGAAGAACATTTCTCAATGTTTCTTGTTTGTTTATGTTTTGAGTATTTTTAGACAGAATGGTTATTGAATTTGTCAAAGGTTTTTTTTTCTCCTGCATCTCTGTTCAGGAAATATGATGTTGTTAAATCCCCTGAGGTAAAGCAATATTAATATGTTTCTTACTGTGCAGCCATCCGTATTTTACACAAAGTCTTCTTGGTTGCAGAGAACTGTTTTCTCAATATGATGCTGGGCACATTTACAGTGTTCTTATGAAATATCTTTTATAAATTTAGTACCATGTTATACTTACTTCCTAAAAGATATTTGGACATTTTATCATCTCATGTGTTCCCAGACAGTTTATACAATATTGGGAACATTTTGTCTTTGAAATAGTCAACTGTAATTCCAAAATAACAAAAACAAAAGTTAGGTCACTCCATGTGTATTGCTAATACTGTTTGTCTTCCATTTAGAACATGCTAGACATCTTCAAATGTGAGCCCACAGTTTAATTTACTTATTTACTTGCTCCCTAGTGTGTCATTATGAAGATGTACTGTGATTTGCTGAGTCAAGATTAGTGGACATTTGGATTTCATGGTATTTCAGACTACATTGAAAGAACCTTTCTAAACATATCTCTTGGCACATTTGTGGGAGTTCTGAGGATGAATTCCTTGACCAAAAAAAGTTCCTATTCATGAAGAATTAATCTTCTAAAAAGAGCATGAGAAGGACAAGGCAGAGCTGAATTCTATAGAAAAGAAGTGGAAAGGCTATGACTCTGAGGCCTTGAACATCTCCACAGAAAAACCATCTCCAAGTAGTTTAAATAACTTTTTTGTTTAAAAGGTTTGTTTAAAATCAGCTGGGAATCTTTTATCAAAACAGACTTGTGAACAATATTGTGCTTTAGTTAGATTTCATTAGTTGAGAAGTAAATTTGTAACATTCCTTGGCCATTAGGCTGAAGATTGGCACTCAGGGTCACATCCTAAGTCTTTTCTGAACACACTCTAAAACACACCTCTTCCTGCGGCTCATGCAGACAGGCTGAGGACTCTAAACTATACCTCTTCCCACGTGGAAACTGAGGCTCATGCAGAGAGGCTGAGTTGGTTTGCAAGCCTGGACTTGGAAGGCATCGTGTTTCTCATAACATTTTGAAAAGGAACTATGGGAACTTTTAAGTCATTTAAATTGCACAGATGTACATTTTTTCAGTGTAGTTGTGGTTGTTAGCGTGTTCAGGTAGCCTGCCTTTGGCCTGTGTTTGTTTCCCATGCTGGGCGAACTCTAGAGACCCACATCTGCCTGTTTCCCCCTAGCTTGGTGAGTTTCCATTAAAACTATTTGTTTTATTTAATTCTTAGGTCAACTGGAACAAATATTTCCCCTTTACAAATACTCCAGTAAAGTCATCTACATGGATTGAAATGGCTCATGTTCATTTGTTTCTTTTAGCAGACAAAAAAAAGCATATTTTATAGCAGTGTTTTCTTTAATGGATCTAGAAGAGTAGCTTCCTTTTTGGAACTGTGTCAACATTTCGTGTAGTACGACTTCAGGGAATGCAGTATCTAGATATCACAGTTTTTTTTTTTTTTTGCTTAACCATGACCAAGTGTCCAAAGAGGTACTTCAGCTTTTACAACAGATGGCCATCCGCAGTGACAGCTACAGTCCACTGCAGTGTTAACTGTATGATGAGATCATTCTCGGAATAAGGCTGGAATGTTGGCACCACATATAATCTGAAGAGAAAGATGGCTTTCTCGGTATTCAACAGAAGCTCCCCGAGGGCATGTTCGTTTCCACCTCTTCATCCTTGGAGGATGAAGGAACACCTCCCCCAGTATTTGACATGAAAGAACTACGTGATAATCTCCAGCCTCAAATGGCCTCACCACTGCCTATCAGCGCTTTTATTGTAGATTATAATTGGCCCGATTCCAGGAGACTGTAAGGCAGCTGTTACTTTTCAGGCCGCTTCCCCCTCAGTCCCCACAACTGTGTCAAATGTTTACCCCTCCGTCCCCCTCCTTACCCACACTTGCCTTGATTTTCTCTGTTAGGATTTTTGCTGCTGCTTTAATGGGAGCCCTTCCTGCACCTGAACGTCCCACTGTCCTTGCCACAGTCATTTTCCTATTCAGGCAAACGCCGCAGTTGCCAGTGACATACCCACTGTGTGCCGGGGGGATGCTTCACGTCGGTCCCCTTCCCACTGCCTGACTCCCGTGTTGCCTGGTTTTTCCTGACACATCTCCACAGTGTTGCACTCAACTCTTTTCCAGATAGGGAAAATGCAACCCCTTAGGGAAAGTGCCCTGTTACTAATCGGTGTAGTTGTTCAGGACATTCCTTGTACACATTATCCACGTGCATTTGATGCTTTTTCTCCACTATTGGAAATGTTTGACATTCATTTAATGGCTCGTCTTTGTTACACATTTCACTAGATGCTGATGACAAAAGGTAAATGAGCAGGTACAACGGCAGTCTGAAGTGTAAAGGGATCTGCTGAGATGGCTCAGTGGCTAGAGGCACCTAGGCCAAGCCCGATGACCTGACTTTGACCCCTAGGACCCACGTGGCTAAGGAAGAGAACCAACTCCTGAAGTTGTCCTCTGACCTCCCTATGTGTACTGTGGCATGCATGTACCCACATATGTGTATACACAACAAATAAATGTCTTTTTTCCAAAGTTTAAAGGATGAAGGAAGCCAGGGAGAGCTTGTTATGGCATTGTTGAGTGAGCAACACTCATAAAGCTAGACCCATCTGTAAGGGTCTGGGTCTCCAGAGACAGCATTAACCTGAGTAAGACCATCTTCGGAAGTTACTGCCTCTTCTGCTCCTAGTACTTGGGACTTACTTAGAAAAACCGTAACCTTTCTTTTTAAATTTCATGTGTATGCTGTATATAATTTCCCCCTTTCTTCACCCTCTCCCATGTCCCCTCTCCTCAAAATTATGTCCTATTTTTTAAAATTGTGTGTTCATGTATACACACACATACATATCCATACACACACATATGTATATATTATATGTAACTCAGGCAAATACAAAATAATATGATTCCCTGGGGTTTTTCAAACACCCTTAGTGTCACTTACTCTTCTTCCCTCTCTCTTCCTCTGTATTGTTCTAGTCCACCCCCTCCCCCGGTGAGAGCCCCTCCATTTTTCCCAGTTTCCCCCTGGAATCACCTCTGCCCCGCCTTTCCCTCCAAAGCCACCATCCTCACATCCTTTAGTCTCTCCTGGATTCTGTGGTTCTCTATGTAGTGTACTCACGTCTGAGGATTCAGAGTGAGGAGCCACAGATAAGAAAACATGGGATGTTTGTCCTTCTGGGTCTGGGTTTCCTCGTATTTACTGGATCCATTGATTTCTCTGAGATTTTCACGAGTTCCTTTTCCTTTACAACTGAATAGTATTCGTGGTGTGTATGTGCCACACTTTCATTACCAGTCGAAGAGCATCTAGTTGTTTCTCTTTCCTAGATGTTGTGAACGGAACCGCAGTGGACACAGCTGAGCAAGTGTCTGTGGAGTCGGATGTTGAGTCCTTTGGGCATATGCCAAGGAGTGGTACAGCTGGGCCATATGGAAGACTTAATTCCAGCTTTTTGAGAATTCACACTGATTTCCAGAGTGGCTCCACCGGTTTGCAGTCCCACCAGAGGGAATGAGAGTTCCCGTTTCCCCACATCCTCACTAGAATTTATTGTAGAAACCACTCCTTTTAAACAAGTATAACAACTTTAAAATAGCAAAACAGACCCACATAAACTAAGTTTATTATTGCTCAAAATTTCTACAAGCCATATGCTATATTTTTAATAAAGGGAAAACAAATATATGCATGGTTATAATTACTAGTCTGCTGGCAAGAAAAAGCTAGTAGGTTGCACAAGAAAATTACCGACAGGGTGTGTGTGTGGGTGGGTGGGGGGGTTGACACTGTTTGAGAGCTAAATTATAATGCAGAAATTCTAGGGATACTTGCATCTTCTGACCCCAGCTCTCCCATGTCCCCATCCTCCGCAGTGTTGAGCAGTTCTATTAGCTCCATCCCTTCCTAGGAAATCATCAGTATGCCAGTTTGTTTTCTGTGCCCTTTGCGGGCAGCCCTTCTGTTGAAACTCACCCCTTTAAGGTCCGCTGCAGTCCAGTCCCCTCTGAGGGGCCCTCTGCGGTAGTGCCCGCTCACAGCGACCTGCCCGAGGCTGTCGTCTGGCAGCAGTCAGACTTTAATGGGCTCTGCGTGTTCCTGTTGGGATGTCTTGTAGCCATTAGGTTTCCAGAGCCTTCATCCTTGTTTTGTCTGCATAGAAGGCCTCCGTGGTCCTGAGTCAGCTGCTTAGGAGGGTGATTGCTGACGTGATGAGAGCTATCATGGAAAACTACACAGTGAGCTGTTGGAATGCTCCCCCACTTCCTGGAAAATGTTCCTCAAGTCTGCAAAATAGTGGAGTTAAGTAAAAGTAGGATTGGGCGAAGTCCCGGCTCTAAATAGGAGTTTGGGTAAATTGCTTAACACCCCAAGGCTTCATGCCCCCTCCCTTTTAAGTGCATGTAAAAAAAACAGTTTCAGAGATGTTGAGAATGTTTGGAGAGTTAAGCAAAAAATGTGGACCCAACAGCTGACACTGTTCTGTAGCACAGAGGCTGTGATCAGCAGAGAGCAGTCATGTTCTCGCCAGAAAATAAATCCCCATTAGTGAACAATACCACGACGGAAGCTTCTGTGTGGGTGTGCTGCCCTTGGGGCGGAACTCCCTCGGGTCCCTCCTTACACCCCTGCCTCCCTCAGCACTCCTTCACTGGGGATTCAGGGCAAGCGGAGTGGGGGTCCAGAAATCGTAGCTTGGAAGTTGTCAACGGTTTCCTTACAGAAAAGTGTTCTTCTACATGCTGCTCACCTTCATAAAATTACTTATGGGCTCTTTTGGCCATATCTGGCCAACGAAACCACCACGTCTAAAATTGTTTCTATGGGAAACTATGTCCCCAGCTCCTAACAACAGACGTAGAAATGAGCTGTTGGAATGCATCTTGTTTGGGGACAGTCTGTAGGTCAGCATTTGTGACTCACTGCCAGTGAAAGGGAAATGGCATTTATTCCACCGTTTCTGAAACCGAGGCACTTAAATTTCTCTGAGGTCATCAAGGATTTAAAGTTATTTAAAACAGTAACCATGTAAACCTATCACATTATGTTGATATCTGGAATCTTACATTCCAGCTATTAACCCAGCAACTAAGATGCACTTATGTGCTCTTTAGACATCTTCAGGATTTACTATTTTTAAGGAAGGCAGAGCACTGTGCTTTTGCAGGCTCCTCTGTGGTTATATAACTGCTGAAACCCTGCCCTCCCTCCCCTTCCCCTGCTTGCAGGCTTCTCTGCCCATGTTTGGTAACTGTTCCACAGCAGATTCTGATACTGAAGCAAGCCAGAAGAACCCTTATTCGGACGGGTTAAAAGCTGAGCTGCTCCAAGACCTCAGATTGAAGAATCTCCTGTGTGTGGGCAGGGGATGTAGCTCAGTAGTGCGATGCTTCCAGCAAGCCAGCAAGGTCCTGGGCTTGATCCCCAGATTGGCAAGAAGAGAAAACAATTTCTCCTGTGAAGTGAATCTGTGGATGCTACCTAGATCAACACAAGTGGGGTTGGGATAGGTTGTTGAGGCAGAGTTCATGTTCTAGATGAGGTTGATGGGCTACCAAAAACCCCATTGATTCCCTTGTTTTATGTTTCTCTGCCATAAGTCCCAAGAGTGTGTTTTTCTAACTCTCTTGTTTTTATTTTGTGTGATTGCTGTGAAAAGCATCAGGCACACCTTCCTTTCTTTCCTCACTCTTCCCTTTCTTAAATCCTTGCAGTTATGGCCAGAGAGACTTCCAGGTCCTCTTTGTTGTTTATTCTAGGCTTGTATTCAGCTGAGCTGTGCTTTAAATTAGTCTCTAGGACAGAGAAGATAAACTGCAGAAGCAGGTAGCAGGCATGAATTCCCTTTCCACCACCGTGGCTGGGTCCAAGCCCACCCACTTTCAGTATTATTTAATAGCTTACAATAAAGCAAAAGAAAAGACCACCTAACCCAGAACACTTGCCTTTCTTGAAGGGACAACTGCAGTTTTCTGAGAACTGTGGAAACTGAGCAAGCTGAAACTTATTCTACAAAAGAGATTCTTGGTGCGCGCGCGCACACACACACACACATCTAGTCATTTATGAAATGCCTACTTTACACCATTCACAAAATGAGCAACAGATTCCTAAAGATGATCTTCATGCAAAGACAGAAACTGAAATGACAGTTATCAATCAGTACATGCTGTAATAAAGATTTGCAGCTAGTGCTGGGGAATCCAGGAGAAAGGAAGGCAGTCACTGGCTGGGGCATTTCAAACTGTCTCACAGACTTGAATGAAATCAGGGTTGATTCTTAAAGACACGGTGCTCACACAATACCATGTTATTCTTTGTAATTACAAATTATTGTTCATTAGCTTCAAATAAAATCAAGAGTAAAGTCTGAGGTGGCTCCCTGGATCAGGACTGACAGCACTGGACGAGCCATATATGAAGATGAGAAGGTAGTCCGAGAACCTCTCAGGTCTCCTAGTTTAGGATGCAGGTGTGGAGAGAGAGCTAGCCATTCCATTCGTTCTTTCATTCAGTGAGTATGGATGACAATCAAGTCTCATAAAATGAGAGACATTGAACCTGAAGTAGCAGGTACCATGGCGGCAAATACAGGGTACTGGAAATGTTTAATTGAGGACTGGATTGGAGTGGTATTTGGGGTAGTTTTTTAGGGGGACCTGATTCCTAATACAGGCAGTGGGATGAGCATGTGTGATGATTTCCCATGGAGAAAAAAAACCTGGCCATGAAAGGATGAAAAAGTCAGAGCCCCATGTCCATGGAAGGAAATAGGTTGTATGTAGGCCTGGACTGGTAGATCGTTCCAAATTTGTAGGAACTTGAATAGGTTTGGGACATTGGAGATAGGACAAAGTCCATGATATGGGGCTGGGGATTTTGTCAGCAGAGTGCTTGTCTCCTGTTCACACATGAAGCTCTGGGTTCAGTCTCTGTCACAGAAGAGCTGGGCATCATGGCACATGCCTGGAATCCCAGCACCAGGGACATGGACACAGGAGTTCAAGGTCATCTTTAGCTGCATAGCTACTTCTGGGAGATCACCCTGTGCTACATGACACCTGTCTGAGACCGAGGGGCTGGGGCAGAGACAGACATGGGGGGCATTTAAGTAAAACAATTAGCATTTTCATATCTGTATTTTTTTTTTTTTTTTTTTTTTTGGTTTTTCGAGACAGGGTTTCTCTGTATAGCTTTGCACCTTTCCTGGAACTCACTTGGTAGCCCAGGCTGGCCTCGAA